ATGAAAATACCTACAAATGCATCTTTCATTTTTTTCAAAATTCACTTCCGGTCGTCAGATATGTCCGATTTATGTTTTTTTTCAGAAATATTTTGTCCGAGTCATATCTCAGAAACGGTAAGATATTAAGACACCAAACTTACATGAGTAATAGATCTTGAGGAGTAGGCAAATCCATTTGGGTTAAGATCATCAGTCGTCACTTCCGGTAGTCACAGGAAGTGATCAAAGAAATCGAAAATTTCATCTTTTCTTTTTTGAATATTTTTTTGCATCACCTTATTGCATCTCATTTGTAGTTTCGAAATATGTTGGTCCCACCGGAAACAAAAACGTCAACTTCCGGCTATAAGCGAAAAACTGCATAATTTGAGTATTTTACTTTCCCATAAATATTTTTTATAGACAATGTATTTGAACTGATTTTTGAATATGTTATCAAGACTGCAAATGTCTAGAGTAACGTCAAATATCTTTGTAAAATTCACTTCCGGTAGCGCGTTTAAATGTCCACAAAATGAGAACTTGTCCCAGTGATATCTCAGAAACGGTAAGAGATTTAGACACCAAACTTATAGGAGTATTAGACCTTGAGAAGTAGACAAAACCATTTGGGTTAAAAGCGTTAGTCGTCACTTCCGGTTGTCACAGATAGTGATCAAAGAAATCAAAAATTTCAACTTTTCTCTTTTGGAATAAGACTTGCATCATATAATTGTATCTTTTTCACAGTTACGATATGTGTTGGTCCCACCGGAAACAAAAAACGACAACTTCCGGTTATAAGAGAAAAACTACATAGTAGGGTATTTAATTTTCCGATACATATCGCCTATAGATAGAGTTCTTATAATGATTTTTATATATGTTATTGAGACTGCAGATGTCTAGAGTGATGTGAAATATCTTAGTAAAATTCACTTCCGGTCGCGTGTTTTCTTGTCCTCAAAATGAAAAGTTATTTCAGCGAGATCTCGGAAACGGCATGAAAGTAAGACACCAAACTTATAGGAGTAATACAACTTGGTGAGAAGGCAAACCACATAGGGTTAAAAACGTCAGTCGTCACTTCCGATGATCACAGGAAGTGATCGAAGAAAACAAAAATTTCAACTTTTCTTTTTTAAAACTAAAACTTTCATCACTTTATTGCTTCCCTTTCGCTGTTTTGAAATATGTTAGATTCCACCGGGAAAAAAAACTTTAAACTTCCGGTTTTAAGAGATAAACTACGTTATTTCGTGGTTTAACTTTCTCATAAATATCACTTATAGATAAGTATTTGAAATGTTTTTTACATATGCTGTAGATACTGCAAAAGTCAAGAGAAAATTTTTATTCACTTCACTTTCGGTCGCGTGTTTTCCTGTCTTCAAAATTAGAATTTGTTCTCACAATTGTTCGGCAACAGTAAAAGACTGAAGTCTAAAACTTTGAGGACTTATAGTCAGTCATCAGTTCATTTGCTTCGTGTAAAAATCGTGTGTCGTCATTACTTCCGATCGTGACAGGAAACGAAGCAAAAAAGTATTTTTTAACTTATTTTGTTTTTACATAAGTTTTAGGCTAATACCGACGTTGGAAAAGACATGTTCATGCAAACAGGAAGTAGTATAACGGAAGACCTTCTCATTACTAGTAATGAGTTTCTAGTTATTATTATTATTTTTTTTTTTCTACTTTCTTCTCCGGTACTTTTTTGTCCGCGAGTGTTCTCATAGAACCACTCATCCGATTGACATGAAACCTTTTTAGGGTTAATAGGCATGTTGTGTAGGTGTTCGGAACAAAGGTCATTTTGCGCGCACATGCATGCACGTGCGCGCGCGTGCAATGAGTGAAATGACTGATATACTTGATGAAGCCGTAACTTTGATATTTCTTGATGAATTGCTTTGAAACTCAAAATATAAAGATACATTAGTAGTCTAGACAAGATAACATGGTCAAATTAGCGTGAACTCACGCGCATGCACGTGTGCTCTTCTCTGATTGGCTGATACAAAAATCTCAATAATTTCCTTGTTTTTTGACAAAATACTTTGAAATTTAGAATATAAGTATATATTATAAGGTGCTACAACATGTTATATAGGAAATTTCTTGAAAACACGCGCATGCAGGTGTGCTGCAATCTGATTGGTTGAAACTTTAAATGTCTATAACTCCCTTGGTTTTCAACAAAACAGGATGAAATTTATGACATGGATAGGCACATAGAGCTCCTACATTATAATACTATCAAAATTGAATGCAAGGACCTGCATGTGCGTATGCTGAATTCTGATTGGCTAATACTTAAAGGGTTACATCTCTCTTATTTTTCAATGAAATTCTTTAATATTTAACACAACTGTATGTATTGTGAGACACTATAAGAAAATTAAAGTGAAAAATGTAGAAAACATGTGCAAGCACATGCGCTGAAATTTGATTGGCTAATACCCATATGGCTATATCGGAGTAGTTTTCCAATGAAATACCCTTAAAAATAAAGTGTCCATCTATATTGCAAAAGTATTCTCTAATTTTTTAAGCTTGTAGAAAATGGGGCATCATAAGGGATTTGGGGAGCCGTTTGGGGAACATCTGTAACGGTTCCCGTTACAATTAGCACTAGTTAGATGTTGGTTTAGTCCATTAGACGTTCGGGGAACACACCGTCACACCGACTATAGCTGTCCTTCATCCGAGACCGATATTTCTCCGCATGAGGGACTTGGATAAGTATCTTAATAACAACAAGGTCACGTCAATACTTATGTTACGGTCGGATTTCTGGTCCCTGGATGTTGGGCATTGTTTACGAATAGTAAATTGAAAGTAAATTGGTTCTTATTTTCGAGACAAAATTTTTTGCATCTCAATTTCCGAGCCATTTAAGGGTCAAGGTGTCGATCATTTACACATTATCATTCTCGTATCCAAGAATGCCTCTTCTTGAGAAATTAAACAAATCAGTTTTGTTAAGAGGTACAGAGGATGCCGAACATTTTTTTATGTAAATAATGTTGAACTAAATATAATAACGTGTACTTACACCACCGAACTGCTAAATCAATATTTGAAAAGAAGCTGACTTAGTTTTAGATGTGATTAATAATCCAAAAAAAATTTGCTACATGTAAATACACGTATCTATAAGTATTGAATGACTGTAAATAAACCATTTGATAATTATGTACTTGTCCATTAAATGATCCAAGGCTCCTGGTACGCTCGGGGGAGGGAGGAAATAGTCTTATGCTGTACTTTTGAAATGTAATTTTTTATTTAGATGCCCCCCCCCACCCAGCCCACACCGACCTTTTGTTGCTGTAAGGTCGAACTCTGGCAAAGTCCAGCATTTGAACCCCCACCCCCACCCCCATACACCACCACCACCACCTCCATTCACGAAATAGGATTTTCTGTGAGAAGTATTTTGGAGGTTAATTCCCCCCCCCCCCTTAAAACAATTGTTACGGGCCTGGTCCCAAACCATGGCAAGTTGTGATGAGAAAAGTGAACATACTATTTATATTTTTGGACAATCTCTAGATTTCTTTAAGCTCTGTATTTTTCACAGATTTTAACATTTGTCCTTTGCTTTTCACGATCAAGCCCAATACTGAATAAACTGATTTCTCACAGTATGACCAATAATGTCTCTTGTAGGATAAGATGTATTTTTTTAAAGAAATTTTCTCTAGTCAGGTCCGTAGGAAGCAATTTCAGTTTTTTTTTTTTTTTTTGGGGGGGGGGGGCACTATCAACTACCAAAAATTCCCTGACAAGCAAAAAAAAAAAAAGGTCGTCAGACGTTTTAATTGAGGGGGCACAAACATATAGTAGCTATGTTTTCTATAGTATTCTATATATCGTCAAAATTACTGGGGGGGGGGGGGGCATTCCTACGGCTGTGCTAGTTGATGCACACAAAAATATCACATACCGGTAAGAGTCAAAGTGCCGAATTATATATACGCTGAATGCAGTACACGTAAATGAACTAGAGTTATCTTTCTTTTCATGTACATGTACATTGTAACAGCGTATCCACAAAAAAGACGAGAAAACATTGATGTAACCATCAATTGAATAAAGTAAACAATGGAAAGGGGTCTTGATCATCAAACCGCTTCGATATGTGTGAAAAAGGCATGCGTCTAAATGATGGAGACGATAGTCGAGAATATTTTGAAAACTTATAGACGGATGAAAATCGAACAAAAACGATACCCTTTTAAACTTTATCAATTCCTAAAGTAAATATTGGCTGCATAAAATATAATCTGAAACCAGACACATGCATCACCTATTTTCAAAAATGTCTTTCACTTAAAGAATATAAAACATGAACTGTGTAAAGTACTTTTTTACGTTTTTATGCGATAAGTAAAATTCGATGTTCTAAAAAAAGGGACCTGTCGTTTTTTCGATAGTAAATGATAAGCAACTTTATATATTAAATATGAAAAACGTATATATTTTTACAGATTCACTTTATGGAAGTAAATATATTGTATATCTCGTAATTTATAAAGGGAAAGAACATTCTGATTAACAATCTTTTTAATGTTTAGAATGTTTAGAAAACCTTTAATTCTGAATAACTTCTCCCACCTTAATCCCCATATACCAACACTTAAACTTATATGTATAGAGCAGCCCTGTCCTCCGGGCTGCAATAACTTTCCATGAAACTGGAACTTGTTTCTCATTTCCTAAATCCCAGCAAACCAAAGATTTCTGGAGATTCAAATGAAACATGATGGAGATGCAGGATCTTTTTCTTTATTCTATGATTACTGAATCAGGAGCCGCGGGCTTGAGAAAATTTTTTTCTCGGTAACACAAATAAGTGTGCCAAATGTATCTATCTTAGTCATTTTTTTTTTTCAAACCTACAACATTTAAACATTGATTGTATTGATTTGAAATGCAGTCGTAGTTTGTTTTTTTATCATATAAATAAATTATTACAAAAGCAAATGTATGAAAAAATCTACATGTTTTAGGCTTGAAAACAACCACATCGCCATGCCAGAACACATGGGCACCCACGTAGACGCTCCGGTTCATACTTTCAAGGGTACTTGGAGGACACATCAAATCCCGATTGAAAAATTGTATGGACCTGGAGTTATTATAAATGTTAAAACCAAGGTCGAGAGCAATCCAGATTACAGGTGATATTCTATGAATTCATGTAGGACTTGGGGGGGGGGGGGGTCATTCATGACCCATATATTCAAGGTGTCTGCATAGCCCAGCAATTCATCTGACCGACGAGACATTCCTTAGGAATTTTAAAAGTCAGTATTTCTGCGTGCACGGTTTAACGTTCCATATGTAACAAATAATGCATGTAGTTGATGGTAAAAAATTGAAAATTTTCATGCACTCTCGAAAATCATTGTCAACCCTCGGTTGCGCCTCGGTTTACAGCACTCTAACCTGGTTTTCTTTGAGTGAAAATTTTCAATGTTATCTTCAACTACATCCAATATTAACATAGGAATACCTGTATGAGTCGTCACCAAATAATGTTAACAAATTGCTAGGAGGGCGTTAATTCATCATTCAGAGGGTAACCGTTTTTTTAAACAAATATTTCTCGACGAATATAACTCAGTTTATTTAAATGATAGTATATTAATATGATCTTCTTTCTTTGAAGAGTTTCCACAGACGATCTTTTGAAATACGAGGACAAATACGGAGAAATTCCTAGGCATGCCGTTATTATAATGAACTCGGGTTGGACTCACAAATACCCTAACAAAACTCTAGTCTTTGGGACCACAGATCTTCAAGATTCCTCTACATACCACTTTCCTAGCTGGCATGAAGAAGCTGTCACGTGGTTGATAAATAAGAGACAGGTCAACGCCATTGGGGTGGACACTCCCTCTACTGATTACGGACAGTCCAGAACATTGCCCTGTCACGTGATCATTGGCAAAAATAACGTGGTAGGGATTGAGAATGTTGCAAATCTGGATAACATTCCAGAAAGCGGAAGCACTATTTACGTTCCGGTTGTGAAGATTTATGACGGAAGTGGCGGACCTGCGCGTCTTTTCGGGACATACGATGACGATCCGGACAAAACAAACGCAGCATCTACAGCTTTATGCTCCATCGTCTACACATACTCTTTGATCATCGCTTTTCTTGTCAAATTTTAAATGCGAAAATATGCTTTTATAGAAGGGAACAATTGATTTTTATGCCCCCGGATCGAAAAGTCCCGGGGCATATTGTTTTTGTCCTGTCTGTCTGTTTGTCTTTGTCCGTTTGTCTGTCTGTCTGTTGTCAACTTTAACCTTGCTTATAACTTTTGATTGGTTGGAGGTATGACTTTCATATTTCACATGTATATTCCTTGTGACAAGACCTTTCTTTGGGTACCATCATATTTGACCTTTTGACCTTGTCCTTGGAGTTTGACCCACTTTTGCAAAATTTTATGAGACTTTAACCTTGGCCATAACTTCTGAACAGTTGGTGCTTGGGATTTCAAACTTCACATGTGTATTACTTGTGACAAGACCTTCCTCTGGATATCAACCTCTTTGACCCTTTGACCTTGACCTAGGAGTTTGACCTACTTTTGAAAAATTTTAACCTTGGCCATAACTTTTGAATGGTTGATGCTAGGGCTTTCATACTTCACATATGTAATCCTTGTGACATCTCCTTCCTTTGGATACCAACCACTTTGACCCTTTGACCTTGACATAGGAGTTCGACCTACTTTTGAAAAACTTTAACCTTGGCCATAACTTTTGAATGGTTGGTGCTAGGGCCTTCCTTTGGATACCAACCACTTTGACCCTTTGACCTTGACATAGGAGTTTGACCTACTTTTGAAAAACTTTAACCTTGGCCATAACTTTTGAATGGTTGGTGCTAGGGCTTTCATACTTCACATATGTAATCCTTGTGACAAGACCTTCCTTTGGATACCAACCACTTTGACCTTGACGTATTACTTACTTTTAAAAAACTTTAACCTTCGCCATAACTTTTGCACAGTTGCAGCTAGGTCTTTCAAATTTCATAGGTATATTCCTCGAGACAAGACCTTTCTTTGGGTACCAACATTTTTTATCTTTTGGCCTGGATTTTGACTAGCATTTGAGAAACTTGAACCTTCGCCATAAGCTGCCATACGGGGGCATCAGTGTTTCACAAACACATCTTGTTTTTTCTTTAATCTACTTTATGTTTTATATTTGCAAGATAAAATGAAAGTTTTGATCTACATTTTGTAAAATGTTTTATGACCAATACGGTTCTCGTATACTTACAGGTCGTGTTAATATAGTTTTTGACGGCACGTATAACAGAATGCTAGGAAATGAGACTATTTCAACGTGCTCAGATGGACATTGGTCATCTATTTCCAATTTACTGGCATTGTCGTCTGTTCCAGTAATATGCATTTTATATTCAGTGTATCGTTAAACCGACCTCAGCTTACGAGCCTCGTAAAATCCTCCTCTTATATAGAACTACACATGCTTCAATAATGGAAGGTTTGAAGTTAACTCGTGCGAATGATCTTGAGTTCTGAGAGGAGGGTCTGTCATCAGTATCTTCTTTCAAGGGGAAAGTTTATAGATGGAAGCGGAAGGTCAATGAGGCGAAACAGCCGGCGAAAAATAATGAAGTCGTTCCTGATAATTTGATCAAGTGCTTCAAGAAAGCAGTTATATCTTTATATGTATCCAAATTTAACTAAAAACTTTCGTTCCAATTGGATGCACTGTGAACTGGAACGCTCTTTCTCAACTTTTAGAAGAACTATAACGTATCGCTAAATAAATGTACATATATTGAGCTGCTTGTTTTTGTTATATTAATTTAGACTGAGCATGGTTCAAGCGCCTTAAAATGATTTTAGAATATTAATGGGGAATGGTTGTTCGATAAAGTCATCTCCTAAATATCCGATTCAATAAAATGTTGGAGGAGGCTCTGTTCCAAACTGTGTCGGAGACAACGCATTATGATGGCTTTTTTAACCATATCGTTTATGCAAACGATTTTGAAATAAATTCATACAGAGCTATAAAATTTTGCCTTTATTTTTAAATAAAATATACAAAATGTAGAATATATAAAACTTTATAAATTTATGTTTCTGGAATAAGCCAGATAAAAAGATATAAATTGGCGTCGTCAATGTTCCAATTAGAAAAAAAATAGGTCAACGCTTTCTCTAAATAAAATATACATGTATATCAAAAGTACTCTTTTGGTTCTTTTACTGCGCAGGACCATAGACGGAAACAATTGCAGGGTCAAATGCAGGGTGAACTCTATGATACTGTGGAATCACACCGGAAGTAGAATTCCATGGCTGTCGCACATAATGGTGATTCCTTCTCCCTTGTTGATAACCGTATTGTTTCGGGTTGGCATGGCTACGTGGAACAAATTCGGGTTGATTGACATTCAGTTTGCTTTTCATGACATCAAATACTTGATCATTTATGCGTTTTGTCTTCACAGTGTAATTGTTTAACTCGCCGTTTTCTTGAAAAAGCCCGGTTTTAACATTTTGGTTTTTGCATTCCCTTATTTTTGCAATCTGCGCGTAGGCACTGTTTATAACGTTGCCTCTTTTCTTCAGTTCGTAAAAGGCAGTATTCATATTTTGTTCTATGTTTTTCAACTTTTCGTCCCATACTGCATTGGTATCGGTATTGGTTGAGGCGTCAACCTGGAGAAATACAGATAATTATATGATTTAAATTCCATTATGTAATTTTCTTATTAAAACATGATTAAATAAAAGAAGGAAAAAGTCTACACATGCGTGGCATTATTGTAGATTTTAAAAGATATTTACTCTTCTTGATATTTTGAAAATATGAGATACATGTATTAATTAGAATCAACATCTGCTGGGGGGGGGGGGGGGGGGCTTTGTTTTTTTAAACTCCGGTAGGAAGTAGTACTTCTATGTTTTTATTCTGAATGCACGGCCATTTTTCAAAAGGAGGGAAATATTTTTACATTATTTTTTATTTAAAACTGTGATTTTCATTTAGTCAAAAGTCAGGTGCTAATAAAATTACTAGAAAATATTTAGGTCAATTGCTCTATTAATTTCCATAAAATATAGAATAAAAATGATGGTGTCACATTTGGTATACTTATTTTGATATCTATATGTACTTCAGTTTCATGTACTCTGAAAATATGAGTAAGCTTAATTTCAAGAAAATAATTATGCAGCTCAATAAATCAAATACACTGTCTTGAAACAGATTTCTTGTTCTTATAAGCTTACTTTAGGCACAGACTGAACATTTGTCAGTGTTTCCTTAATGGAACTCAAAGCGTAGTTTAATCGAACACCATTCTTCAGGTTGTTGACGTCATCGAGAAGAACGCCATGACGACAGTTCGGACACAGAATTGTGATGTCACAGGTAACTGCCACTTTTGTATTTTTCAACCGGTGTCGGCCTATCTCATTCAAACATCTGTAAAAAAATGATTTTTTTTTATTAATGTTTTTATTAAAACAAAAACTACGTGAATACATTTTTTTTTAAATCTTCATAAACTTTTTTCAGAACTTCAGGCGTGCAATGTACCATGTCCCAGTGGCCATAAAATAAGAATACAGTCGAATTTAAATCGTAGGTCCCCTAGCTTCGTTATCAAAATACATTAGATTATCTAAGAAATGTTCTATGGCAAATTGCACTCATCAAGATATATGCGAGTTATTCCTCATGTTGAACTTGTTTGTGGTCGTTAGATTGATAGCCGCAATTAAAATGGAAGCGGTTGTCAAAGTCACCTTTTCCACTCGTAGATCATCTTCTCTTGGAATCTAAGCCTCAGTCTATTTAAACGAGAATAAGCAACTGTTCAACAAAAATGCTAGATCGCAGATAGATAAATAATACTTTACCCCATACAGAACGTGTGTCCACACGGCAGAATGGTCGGTTCTGTAAATATATCCCAGCAAATGTTGCACTTTAAGAGGCCAATTACTTCACTCCCGATGATTTTCTCTAAAATGGACTCGTTCTCCATTGTTTTACTTATTAAAATAAATAATGTTAAATTTCGAAATTTATGTAGACTCCCCTACACCTATCACTGTGGTAAAATAACAACGGAATCCAGCAACGTGGCGTGCATTGTGACGTCATAATTCAGCGATGTAAACGTTATGAAACAAGGAATTTGGGGGGGGGGGGGGGGCTCTACCTCAAAGGTTGGCTTAAATTGTACAGCTAAAGCACACTCGCAGCTAATGCTAGTTTTTTGCAACTTCCTTTATTTTAAGATAAGAATTTCCTTTCATATTTCGATCAACAATGACGATGCAAGTTTGCTGGTTTACATCGCTATATAAATAAAAATGTTGCCTTAGTTATATTATGCTTCTCTCGGACTTTCCATTACGGGCTCGAACTCTCCCCCACGACCAAGAAGCATCTAAGATTACACACTATTACATGTGTATGGTTTTCAAATATGATTTTTTTTTTCATATGAAAATATGAAAAACTGTGCTAAAATGATACGGAAATTGAAAAGGTAACCAAAAAATCATTAGATTCTACTTCATTTCTTAAATAAATACAAAATTTGATTTCAGTTTACATTCAAAATTAAGCATTTTGCAGAATAATTGAAATTTAGACTCAAGTCTAAGTTCATACGAGCTTCATTGTGTTAAAGCAAAGTTATTCAGAATGCTTATTCTAAACAAATCAAATATAATTAATGAATACGTGAAACATAGGTGGATCCAAGATTTGCAGGTATGGCATAATTTTATATCAAATAGAAAACAACGAAAAAAACAACTACAATCGAAAATAAAGTTGTGTAGCTGTTGTTCTTTTTTTTTTTTTTTTTTTTTTTTTTTTTTGTATATCATTTTATGTTTTTTCAAAATGCGGCGAGTTAAAAATCAGCCACTTTTCGATAAGTTTTATGAGGGAAGCCCCCAAGTGGTAGGAAGGGAATGGGATTAAATTCTCTCAAAAAATAAATTCCATCTAACCCGTGAGTTATCAAGTAACAAAAAATTCTACCTCACATTGTGATATTGTGAACGATTTTGTAATCAATTTTGAACATTGTTCATGTCCAGTACGCGCCCGCATATTAGTTTAAAAGGGTTCAGAACGTGTGTTCATTTATAAAACCCTAGGATCCGCCAATTTGACTGATTCATTCACTATAGCTTGTTAGGAGGCGCAGTCCCTATGCACAGAACTGTAGGCGGATCAGAAAGTAAAATTAAACTATGACGAGGGCACCGTAAAAGTGAGGCGATGAATCGCTCCGTGATAAAAGTTCGATAAGGAACGAAGGTATTGCAATAATAAAAACCACGTGTTTCAGACGCACCTGTAAGTTACTGTGACTATTGTGCCCCTCACTATCAGCGTGCGGAAAACGTAACATGGAGGGGGCTGGGGGGATAGGATCCCTTAGGGAGGAGTTTCACCTGAGGAAACTAGGATTTAAGTATTCTAACCCCGAACACTTCTATTCGTGTCAGGTAAGTTTTTTTTTTTTTACCAGACTCAATTCGTCATCATATATTTTACATTTTTCAGTCGAAATTTTTACTAGTTGATTTATGTGTTTATTAGGGTCATAAAATGCTATTGATTTTTTTTAAAGAGATGTAACTTCTTTTAAAATTCTTTAATTTCTTTATAAACTGAGTCAACAATAGACGTTATGTAATACAGTGTTATATAAATCTTTTTAAAAAGAAAGCATTCGTGAATTATTTATTACTTTAAAATTGCATAAAACTGTAAAAAATGATATACGTTTTTCGTTAACAAATAAAAAATAGTTTTAAAGTTTGGAAATAAAAGAACAGTTTAACAATAAGAACAAGTATATGTAGACATAATTTTTACGACAAAATTTATCAGTATGTGTTTAATAGTTGGCGTAGGGTATAATTTCAGTGTAACATGATTTACTGCAACATTTGATTTCATTTTCTTTATCTCTTTACGTTGCTGATGTGTACAAAGTATTTAACTAACTTAATGTATTTATGACATTACAAGAAATAGACACGGTGCACCTTCAATTAGTAAAGTTTCTAGGTAATTTCACGGAGGAAAGAGAAGATTATCGCTGCCCTTTGAGGTGCATTCTGTCCGGACACACTTCCCCACGAAACAAATAAACTGCAGTTTAGCAGGAATTTTTCAAAGTAACTGGGATATGAAAGTAAACGCCTACGAAACATCACGGGGTGAAATAGTTTCTTTTTTTATTTTTACGGTATTAGCGAGATTTTTTTCGAGGAAATATAAAATATCCCCCTCATGCATTCATCGAAAAGGGGGTCTGAGTAAAACATTCATGATTAGCAAATAACTTACAATGTAAATAATTCTACCTGTCAATTTGATGGAATGCCTTCGCGATAGCGATAACTTTTTTATTTTAAATAGACATTTAAAATAAATCGAACCGTTTTGCAGAATGCAATCATTAAGCTAACATTTTCATGTGAAAGGCAAACATTTAGATAAAAAAAGTCGGCAAATTAAATGCTGAAAGTTTTCTTTTTCCCTACATACCACTATCTTGACAATACAGCTCACATATCACTGGCGGATTTAGAGGGGGGCCACGGGGCCCGGGCCCCCTTTTTTGTCCAAAATATACATACGATTTAATAAATAATTTTTTTTGGTGTGGCCTTGGGCCTCTATCCCGATCCCAAACTGGTCGGGCCCCCCTTTTCAAGATTCTTGGATCCGCCACTGCATATTAGTTGCTATATCCTGATTTTCTATCTATCATGTATTACGGGCAGATGACGTCAGGCCCGTAGAACGCGGGGGGGGGGGGGGGGCATACAATGTAGTGGGATGGGAGGGAGTTGGGTGGAGTGGGATGGATGTCTCTTTATATAATTATTCGACATTCTCATATAAGTATGAGGTCCACATTTCCACCAATCATATTTTACGTGTACATGTAGTGGGTCAAAACTGTGACCGAAGGCAGGCAAATTTTTCTAATTCTAAGTTAATTTTCTATATGCACTTTGCATTGCACAACTCATTCATCTTCTGACTGCCTATAACGGAGTCGACAATTCTTGTTTTTGTGGAAGGACCTCTGTACATTACAAATTTAAGAGGTCTTACATGCAGTTACATCGAGTGATATGCCATTAGATCTAAAAAAAAAAAAAAAAAAAAAAAAAAAAAAAAAAAAAGAATGAATTGAAATCTACATGGTGAATTTCTCGCAATAAGTTCAAATATTAACAATTTCATAAGGCAATGGTAAAATGTATTTTCTAATTTTCAATAAGCAGCAATGATTTTTATTCATCAAAATACACGTAATTCGTTGTCTTTTGAATTTTCCTGTTGGTAAATAACGTCACCCTATAGAAAAAGATAAACTGAATTGTAACCTACTTGCTGTTAAACCTTATAAAAGACCTCGATATTGTAAATTATCCATGAACGAACTTTCCATTTAATTTATATGCAAAGCATAGAATCTATTTTTTTTTAATACGTGGCGATGGAGAAGGACACGAAAGGTTTAATATTGATACTTGTCTGTATTTACAAATGTGAAGTGACTTATAGGTCGAATTTAAATCTACAGGAAATGCAGAGACATGATGATAAAGGATAAAACTGAAAAATCATTCGGCCAGATGTACAAAATAATCTACACTAGAGAAATACCACCAAATACACAGAAAAAAAAGATATGGCAAACAAATGGTTAGATAGGCAATCTTTTGTATTTTGGAAAGAGGTTACATCAAATAAATATGCATTTATATATTCATTTGGGAATACTAAGACTAAATCCCAAATGATTTTTTTTTCAAAAGTACATGTAGATTACATATAAAATATCAAAATATTTAATATCCAACTTAAAGTATTTAATGTATAACGATCATATTTTATACCTAATAGTAAATGAATGGTGCGATTTTTATAATCATGGTGTGAATTTGAAAGTGTAATTAAATAAAAATAATCCACCATTGGAATTTAGTAAATTTTGAATATTGTCCATTTCCTTACACCTTGAACTTTACATAGAAGTCTAGGAAGAACTTGATTTATCAAGATATTGTAAATAATAATTTGAATTTCATATTTATCTTTTGGTTAAAATATGCACAAACTCTCTCTTTATTAACTGAAATATTAAATAAAAAGAATCATTTACCACAGATATTTCTAATTTAAAAAAAAAATTTTAAAAAATTGATCAACTGAACGGTAGATAACTCTTCAAAAACGTTACATTCAATGTTCAGAATAAACTGTTTCTAATATATTAACATTCCTGTGAATTTGGTTCATTTCACTTTTATCGCTATTTAGAGTACATGATTATTTAACTATAGTTTAGAATGATTGAAATTTGTTCAATATCCTTTCATTAAACATTGAATACCTAACTTTCTTTTGTTTTTACTTTAGTGGCGTTGGCCAGCATGGGTTTATATCCTCATTCGGGTCTTTTTATCCGTGTACACAATAGGAGCACTCATCACCATTTGGGCAATGGAACCTAGCTACACAATTCTGCGTTTCCTAACAATATGGACATACTTCATGTTAACTCTTCATTTAATTGTCGCCGCCATTATAGCTATTTTTCATCAATTTCAAAGGTCAAAAACGGATACCAGCATCAAGGAGGAACATGAATGCGACTATAAAAGTCGAGAAAATCTAGGATACGTGGCCGAGGAAAATCCCAAACCTACAGAAGACCAAAATATAGGATCAAAAAAGTGTGGGAATGAGCTGAACGACAACATCACATGGTACATGAAACTGTCATGGCTGCTCTCTGATATAGTACATGTGTTTTCAATTATAGTGACGACCATCTACTTTGGCGCCATCTACCCAACTTTAACTGTAACCGAATCTCAACTCTTTAACGACTTGAACATGCATGCGTTCAACACAGTGTTTGTTTTGATTGACATCGCAATCAGCGCACGTCCAGTTCGATTTCTTCATTTTCTGTATCCTATCATTTACGGGCTGGTGTATACTGCGTTCAGTTTAGTGTTGTATGGGGCTTCCGGGACCGTCATTTACAATGTCCTAGATTACAGCCAGCCTCTATATCCCAGTATTACCGTGCCGGGTTTGTGTTTCATCGTCATCCCACTTTTACAGTTGGTCTTCTTTGGCATTTACTTATTAAAACATTATATATTTTGTAAAGTATATTTTGAATGATTTTCCTTAGTCTTGAAAGAAATCTTGATACTGTAGTGTTGTGTCTTATAAACTTTCGCTTGCAAGTTGTTTTAATTAAAAAAAACATATGCTTGTTCATAAGATGTACATAAATAAAGTTTTGTGCGTGGTATTAAAATTTTTCATTTAAAGAAAATTCCAAGTTTCTCGAGAGTTTCTTCAAGAGGCATAATGATAAAAAGTAATTATTCGCAAAATAATATATAATTACATATTTTCAATTATAATAAGCAATGCACAATTAACCTATTTTTGTTCAATTTATGTCGCTAGCATTCTCAAATTGATAGTCTTAAGGACAAATGATACAAACTTAAAATGGATGCCCGGATTGGTATTATATTTGTTGACCTATTTGGGTTGTTAATGATGCAATCAATATATTTCTAAAATATTAAGAAATTGTAAACTTCTATGATGTTCAAAATTCTACCTTTCTGCAACCATCCTTATTAATCTGACATGTACAATTTTTTGTCAATTCAAATGCCATTATTGAGAAACTTTGAAAAAACCTTAAAAACTGTGCGGTTCAACTTATTGATTTTATTTATATTATGACTTAAAATAAGTTGTTTTATTTTCAAAATTTTTGACAAAAGTTTGTATCATCTGTCCTTAAATACGTGATTGTCCAGACTTTCTCGCAAACAATCACATATTAACCAAATCGACTAGCGTAAAATCTACCTTTTTTCTCAAATAAAACATCTGCGGGACTAATTGGACGGAAGGGTTTGAAGATGTCGGAAAGCTCCAGCTACCCTCGACCAACTAAGGGCTGCTGTCATGTCGGAAGGGTTGAATTTAGGGATGTCAAAATATTTATTTTCCTTAGTCGATCATTCGATTGCATTATTCGAACGATAGTCGAATATTCGGAACATTTTCTGAAAATAAAATTTTATTTCATACTTCATTGGTACATACTCAGAAACCTTTTTACTTAAATCTATTTAAAAAGTAGCATCAAAATTAATGCAACGTAACGCGTGGATAGCATGATTCTATGAAATAAATTTAGAAACTTAATTCTCCAAACTTTATTATTTCCCCGTAAATAGAATTCATAAATCGGCCTGTACATGCAGTCATTTTTTATTAAGTAAGCATTTAAAAATTGCCAGCCGATATTTTTAAAGCTTATTATGAAATAAAATGGAGGGGGAGGGCTATCAAAATGTCCTCAAACAGTTTAAAATGTAAGCGCATTGTTTTAATAATTATCGATGTATCAAAACAGGTTTATTCCTTGCATTTGAGCAAACTTAAAATAACAAAAGATAATTGCTACATGGTATAAGATAAAGTCCAATTAATAATTTTACAAACAAAGCCCATTATATTGGTTGGTAATTTATTACAAAAACAACACAGACAGTTACTGACAATTAATTTTCGCAGTAGTGAAGCACTTATAATTGCTGTACTTTCTATACGTACATGGAAAATCTACCGTTTTTTGTTGAGGAAAATTATCGACTGTCTATGAGAAAAAAATGTTTCTCATTTTTTGATGAGAATTCCATCTCATCTATCTCTCATTTATTGCATTTATTTAGTTAAAATAATATTCGAATGTCGTTTCATTATTCGATCGTCGGTCCATTCGACTGATAGTCGAATAGTCGACTATTCGTTGACATCCCTAGTTGAATTATATCCCTATGAGAAGAATAAATGCACTGAAGAACTCCATGCAGAGGAGAATCAAGGTTTGACAGATGCGCGGGGGAGATAATGGCTTGACAGATGCGCGGGGGAGATAATAAGAATTTTTTTTCACAAAAAAAGATGTGTTTGTGAAACACGGATGCCCCCGTATGGCAGCTTTGGGCGAAGGTTAAAGTTCTCAAATGTAAGTCTAACTCCAAGGTAAAGAGATAAAAATGCTGTTACCCAAAGAAAGGACTTGTGTCACTGGATATACCTGGTAAATATAAAAAGTCCAAGCAACAACCATTCAAAAGTAAATTATGGTCAAGTTAAATTATTCTAAAAGTGGGTCAAAATGCAAAGTCAAGGTTAGAGGGTCAAAATTAATGGTATACGCAGGGGAAGACCTTGTCAGAAACACACAGGCAAAATATAAAAGCCCCAAACACCAACTGTTCAAAAGTTAAAGCAAAGGTTAAACAATTTTCAAAGTAGGTCAAACCCCAAGGTCAAAAGGTAAAAACTGTTGGTATCCAAAGCAAGGTCTTGTCACAGGGAATATACCTGTGAAACTTGAAAGCCCTAGTACTAACTGTTCAAACGTTATGACCAAAGGTTAAAGTTTTTGAAATGTGGGTCAAACTCCAAGGTCAAAAGGCCAAAATTGTTATATATTCAAAGAATGACTTTGCCACGTGACACTGAGCCGAGAGGACGTGTTTTGTCGACGCTCCGTGTGTTTTGGCTTTTTTGGGAAGTTTAGACAGTTTTGTGGTGAATTTTTATTCCTACACTTTTCCTATGCTTCCTACGCTTTTGTATATATATTTTTTTCTTTGTTCGTGATTTTGATGGATTTATTTAAATGAATGTTTGGTTCTTTAACCTGTGAGTACCTTGTGAGTAGTGATCAGTTATTACATTGAACATTCGATAGCTATCCTACTGAACGGTCACTCATGTGTACGGCTTAACGGTTTAACGGTCCTTTAACTAGCCCAATCTAGCCCTAAGGCCTGACCGTTATTTCTTTAACTGTGAAAAACATGGAGCTACTTAAGCCTATTTATTTCAAAGACAAGGAACTCCAAGTGAACGTAACGAAAGGTGTTGACCGAATATCAGATTATGAATTATCTGTTGAAGCTAGCAAAATTGTACCAGATATTCTGTGTGTTCAAAAAGACAGGGATCTTTGGCGGGTTTATGTCAAATCCTTAGAAAGCAGATCAAAACTTCTTCAAGAAGGTCTTGATGTAAGAAACAAACACATTGGTGTACGGTTTTTTATCAGCTCCGACTAAATGTGAGTTTTAAGTTGAGTTTTAAGTTGAATTCAGCTGAGAATGTATGTGGTATAGGCTTGAAAACTATAAGAAAACTATAAGAACATTGAAGGGTGTGTTATGATTTGAAAATTCAGGGAGCAATGCTGAAATATGTGAGTTATTTGTGTTTGAATTTTATATGCTGGTGTTAGCGTTATGAACATTACTCACTCTAACCTGGATGTGTGGCATGGAGTCGTCCTAAGCCTGAATTTTCAGTTATAAGCCTTGTAAACCTATGTTACTGTATATTGCACAATTACATTTGATTCTATAAAGGTGTGTTTATATTAGTGGTATTGTGTAATTCTTGAAAATGGGTGAATCTAATAAAAGAACTCTTCAAGATATGTCAAAATCTTTTGCTGATGCGGCAGCTCGCACCCCTAAAAAATCTAAGGAAGGATCGGTATCTGAAAACACTACCACACAGGAGCATCAAAAGCCATCTCCAATATGCGCTTCAACGCCAACATCCCCATAACTCATGGCTATGAAAATTTAGAACCACACCTCCAGCAGTTCAACCCTGGTTTTCAGCCCCACTATGTTTTAAATGGTCCATTGACATTATCTCCAGAGGATATTCAAAAAATTGCCGAAGCTGTTAGAGAGGGTATCCGTGAATCATTTCGAGAGGAAATTTCCTCCATGATTGAAGAAAAAATTGCCCCACTTCGTGAGGAGATAGACCGTCTACGAAATGAGAACAACGACATGCGTCGACAGATTGATGAGCTTGAACAGTACGGCAGACGTCCGCTCATCCGAGTATCAGGAATTCCTGAATCAGAAGGTGAAAACACCAGTCAAAAGCTCCTTGAGGCTACCTCAGCTGCCGGAATAGAACTGTCAAAAGATGATATTATAAACTCACACAGAGTTGGAAACCCCGGAAAACAACGACCAGGTCCACGCCAAATCATCGCTCGCCTGAAATCTGTGGATACGAAATTCCATGTGCTCAGAAACTCCAGCAAATTTCATGATTGCGAAGAAACTAAGCGTATTTCGGTTAATGAGGATCTGACTAAATTCCGCGACAGACTACTCTATCTGTGCAGACAATTGTGTCGACAAAGTCTCCTCAAGAATGCAAGATCTTCAAATGGAAAAATAACTGTTAAAGACAATCGCGATAAGTACCATCATATCAGAGACGAATCAGACTTGGTCAAATTCGGACATGAAATTCAGGAGGCAGTGTAGTCATTTTTACAAAATCCTCTGATGACTTTCTGACAAGTATTTCAGTAAGACCTATAAAACTAAATGTCAATCATAACAATAGCTTCAATATTTTTCTAAATTTAATTTTTTGTATGTTCCAGAGTAAATCAACTTTATCCACAACTTCTCAATTCCCTTTACCCTATGCATTTTTTGCATCTCTTGTTTATTCAATTATGTATATACATTTTTGTTGCATTGTATATCCATTCCGCTATTTGTTTTTGTGAAGATACCATTTTTGTAAATGTGTACCTTTACAATTTTCTCAAAAGACTTTCCACAACTTTAAACCTTTTCAACTTATTTACACTGGTTTTGTATTCATTAATTTACACCAGTGTACAGTATATTATTACCCATGTTATCCCTATGTACATATTCATATTCTATTTGTTTTTCCTGTTTATCTTGTGTTTGTGTTATACTTTGTATTATTTTTTTGTTGATACTTTGAACTATACATTATATCCAAAATCTCTAAGTCATGCAAACAAATATGTGTATTTAGTGGTTTTTGTATTTGTCATAACTTTAGCAGCTACCGATTGCAGCCTCTTTTTTAAATTCTACTTATGTCACAAGGTAGATAATGGGTAACTCAATCGAACAATATCGTGCTGCAATTGGTCTTTTCTATTTATCTGGCAGAGGTACATCAAAAACATGTTTATGGTTGTTTTTTTCATGCGCATGTATATTGCAACTCATGAAAAATGTTTTTAGAATACTCACTCAGTGCTTGACATCCATTACACTAAAATCTGTGTACGTCAATTTTTATTTACAATTTTTCACATTTGTTCTATTGGCATGTGGTGACATTGAGGTCAATCCGGGCCCTGT